TTCAATAAGCACGTCACCATCAAATTCACCAACGTCCATTATGCCAACAAATGAAATTGGTAGTGTATAGTCATCATTAAGTGTTTGATCCCACATGCAATATACAAATTCTTTAAGAAAAGCGATTGCTGAGATGCGTTTTAAGGGTTCACATGTTTTTTCTAATAAAGCTTGAACAGCATGCCCAAAGTAACGTGCCATAACTTGAATCTCCATATAAATAAAGAACTCTTTCTGAATAATATCACAACACAGAGTAGCCATTGAGGAATCCAGGTTATTATTTTTAAAAGCACCATTAATCACCTCTAATCGGGGTGAAGCTTGTAAAATTTCTCTTGGATCTTGTAATATTCGTAGAAATGGGTCATTAATCGTTTCTTCTTCATTCCAAAATATTTTAGTTATTATCGATCCCATAAGTGGAAAAGGATCTTTTTGTGAAAATATGTTATTATAAATATGTTGCCTAACTACCGATTCCAATGGGATGGTGTCAAGACACCTCATTATAAACGATCTTTGCAGAAACAAGGTTTGTTCATTTTTTTCAAGCTTGGGTAAAATGTTTAATACGTGATCGACAAATTTTCTAGACAAAACATTTTGTTCATCAAAGATTAGACCTAATTTTATGATTTCCTTAAGACTCGATAGTTGTATTAATTTTGATGATACAATATCGTTGCAAATGCGTAATAATTGATATGATCTTAATTTATTTGATTTCAAGATCTTTGCACTAAACGATAAAATCTTGACAACTTCGTGTTGCCATTGATCCAATTGAAGCTCGTCGCCTTTTTTTACAATTTTATCTAGCGTCATTTTAATAACTTTATCGACAAGAAATTCCTCAAATGAGACATCTTGTTTCTCCTGCGCAAATTCATTTATAGCTGATGGACATAATTGTGCTAATTGTAAATCTGCTGATATAATATTAGAACTTTTCCACCAATAGATATGAAGACTAACTGGATCGAGTACTTTATCTTTTCCAATATGTTGCTGTAATAGTCTAGCAAGTAACTCGGAATCTTTCTTATCA